CCGTGTGTCTGGTCAATTTGAACCCTCCCCACGGCATGTCCGCTTTTCCAATTGCGCCACACTCTGTTTCCATCACACTTGTGGGTTTCTTCGTCGTCTTGCACAGCACAGTGAACGCTTCATTTCGCTGTTCTTGCTCAAATGGAAGGTGTTCATTGCGCTCCTCACCGCTATTGTGACAACAATCTTCAATGACAAAGCGATGCTGAGCCCAGCAACACGAAATGTATTCACATCTCTGTCAAACAATGTAGCATTGGCTTTCTTCTGTTGTCTGGTATGGTACTTTTCTTTTGCTGTGTATTTCTTAATTTGTCTTGTGTAGTGCCTAAATCAAGTTTGATCCGCTGTGTCTCTGTTGCGCTAGGTGGTGGAAGTACTGTGTGGGATCATTTTGAGCCTGGGGAAGTTGCTGGATGGCAAGTGCCGCAAATTGATCAGTGATTGGTCCCGAAGTGCGTGCTGCAGGCTTGAAACGCAGGTAAGCACTGTCTTTTCTCAGAATCCAAATACAAAACTATTGAGTGCTAAAGCGAAGTCAGCCACAACAAGCAACGCTCACTTGTTAGATGAAGGTTGGTTGTTCAATTCCGTCATCAGTTCTGTAAAACGTTGCCAGAATTTTCCCCATCAACCTGCCAAAATATTGTAGGCTGAGTGGGGTTGTTATTGTGCGTCTTCCTATCTGTTCATCGTAGACTTCTGACGAGCTTTGGTGCATTAATGACTGTGCAATTGCGAGGTGTTCCTTGCGCGGCGCGCAAACGTTCAACTGTTGAGTTGAATGCTGAATTTATAAACGGATTCGAGTTTCGAGTTGAGCTCAGCAGGGATTTCGCTTGTCCCAAAGTCGCCACTGCCTTTCCATCCGTGAAGGGATCACAGACAAGTGAATTCCATATCTATTTGATCAGCTGACTGTCGGCCATTCGCGAATGACTTTACTGTGCCCAGCTGTTGAATTAAGCAGCTGACGCTGGGACTGCTCTGGTCCAGAGCAGCGATTTCATGGGCAAAATCTTAGTAATGACAAGAAAATATGATTAACTCCTGCCCAATATCGCTTGGAGGCAATGCAACCCGGTGAATGGCTGGCCAGGGACATTGACATTTGTCCTTGAATTGACAGGTACAAAAGTGCCCCAACAAGCGGGGACAGCTGTGCGATTCGGACCCGTTGTAACACCAGTTCCCTTCATGTATCTGGTACACATTTTCATGCACTGCTGTCTGATTAAACACCACAGAAAATTGTCTAGATTTAGCACTATCTGCCAGTTACGCCTCCTCGTCTTTCCCTACCGCCCATCTGACCATTCCGCAGAGGTGCATGTTAATATGACAACAGTTCGCCTTGGGGAGGAGTGGAATATTCAGACCATACAAAGGAGGCATTTGGTTAGGAATTCTGAATGCCAGGCGGTTTTCCCCGCAGGTGACACACCCGGGTTCAGTAAAAGCACTCGCCACCATCTTCACAACGTTCAGAGGCGAGTATCTGCAGGCACCCATTCAACATGTCCTGGGGTCAAAAAACAGTGCACAACGATGTTCGTTTCTTTTCATGTGCCAAATGGGTTGTTTGCCGGACGCCAGCGATACATCGGTCCACTACAATGTGAGCCGTATAGGTGGCTTTCCTAGCATTGTGTGCCAGACAGAGCTGCTTGGAAACCCAACTACGGGTACAGCGACAGGAGCTTCGATACCAGTTGCTGGAACCGTTGTTGGTCCAAAGTCGGAATCCGTTCTACCAAACAAGCCCGTTGCTCTTTTGCCGCTGTTTGGACCCCGTAGCTGGCTGCTATGTGTTTTATTTTTTGGTTGTATTTTCTGCTGTAGTTTGTAGTTGTGGTACGTCAGAAATGAAAAAGAATTCTTCGTTGGCACCCTCTGATTTATCCAATGCAACATGTCATGCATGTCCCACGCATTTGTCTTTAAATCCACTTTCGTGGGACATCAATTGTTTTTCAATACTGAATTATTGACAATAGGCAGCACTGAAATACGATGCACCACTGGACAGCAAGCTACACTAGACAAAGTAGGCTTGGTTTTTATGCCGTAAAAACTGACCGTATTTACATTTTGACGCGTAAAAATAGTTTTTACGTTTGTACGGGTAAAATGCGTAAAAATACGTAAATACAACGTAAAAAGTGCCCGGTGTACATAAGGACAGTACATACAGACTTAAGGAGTCCGGAGAGTGGCAGCCAGGCGCCCTGGAAGGGGCAGAAAATGGGCTTTGTTTAAACGCCATTATCGCACTTGGTAGGGGCAAGGTGGACAATGTGTTGTGGGTGCTGCCGAGGCGGAGGACTGATCATTGTACACAACTTTCATCTTGTAACCTGGGTGTCCTAGGGAGCCGTAACAACGTAAAAATGGCCGTAAAAATAAGCCCTTTGCAAATTAACTTTTTTAAGCGTAAAAACGTAAAAGTAAAACGTAAACACAAAAACCAAGCCTGAGGCAAAGACATCCGCGCTTCTGCAGAGCAACGATCCTTATGGAATCTGACCACAATTCCACTCGATATCGTTCACCAGGCGCAAAAACAGCGCAGCCTCCTCCAAATTGATAACGCTGTCAATGCGGAATTGTATGACTGACTATCCTAGAGCGCGATCGTGAGGTAGGAGGTCATTTACAAGGAAACATAATGCAACCACAACACTAGGAAAAAAGGGCCAAATAACACGTGTTCAAACGTGTACAAAGTTTACGGGTTTGTGTTACTTTTGTGTTCTCAGCGTGCAGAACTTTGATGAAATGTGTTTTATGTGTGTTTGCAAAAGTGTTATTTGACCCTTTTCTTCCCAGTGCAATAAGCGTGCTGCCTCCGTGGATACTGGTTACACGAGACAAACCTTCCCAGCATACTGACATGAGTGAATTACGCGCGTCGTCTCCCTGCAAGTGCAATTGCCCATTGCAGACGTGCACCCGATGCATGAAAGGCGTTTGCATACTCGCAGATGTTGTCAAGCGGCAGGTCTCCCTGGAGCCTGGTGAACTTTCCTGGACGCATTGGCGAAAAGCTTGTGCCGCTCAGCTTCCACCTGCAACTCAGCACCGTTGAATTGCGAAGGACGCAGCAACAGTTGTGAGCATGGTACACTTGATTCAACACCGTATTATATCATTGTTAATATTGTCAACGATTCATAATGCAATCTTAACAGTTGGATATTTTTGAACAAATACTGAACCATCGTTAATTCATACTAACAGTTACATTGCAGGACCGATGTTCATATTGAAAATATGAAATCCATATTGAAAATGCTGGAAATTTGGCCATATCTTGTTATGGGAGCATTGTTTGCGGTGTTTTCCAACCAGTGACGTGTGCTTCGTTTGCAGGCGCCGGCGACTTGGCAGCCGTGACAGCACTCACTAATCAGATGGGTGAAGCGAACGCAGAACAACAGCGGCACGACACGCGGCCTCCACCGGTACTCATGTTCGCGCGTTTGCTGGCGGAATTCCTGCGATCATTTTGTCGCACGTGGCAACACGAACCTTTGCACCAATGTCCGCGGCGACAGCGCGCATCATTCCCATAACATTTCCTCAATCCAGGTATCTGTTCACCCCGCTCAGAACGAACCAAAAGCCAACGCTGGATTCTCGAATTCCTCGAAGAACGGGTTGGATAAGTACCAATGATGCTGCTCGGCATTGAAAACCCGTTTCTGGGCTCCCGGGCAACTCAGTCAGTGCCCGGAGCGCGTGCGGCCCAAGGCGCGTGTCCCACACCTGCTGTAAAATGTGTTGCTCACTGCAAATCTGACCCCTCACCACGGAGGGCAAGCGGAGTGCCTGTCGCCTGTACGTTGATCCAAGCACCAAAAACAAAGAATTCAGCTGCGGCATGAGCTTTGTGGCTTTGAACGCAGATCGTCAATGCTCAGACACGCAACGCTGTCGCATGCGTATTGATTGGTGTGCTGGAAACGGCAATCAAAGAAGCAGAATGGGTTCTGCCGCAGCTGAAGACCAATTCCGTCTCAGGTTTGTTTTTATATGGCTTATGTACTGCAATGCACATGTGGACATCATGTGTATAGTTTGTAATCTATTGCCGCAGTATGGAGTGTTTTGTTCTCTCTGGTTTGTGGGTTTGCTTCTGAGGGAATGCACCATGTCGATTTTGGTACGCTTAGCGTCAATGTGACGCTAGGTGGGTCAGAGCTGTCCAGAGCTGTGACGCTAATGGATTATGTGATTGCCACAAAATCGACATAGTTTGTGGACATGTCTATCAAACGCTGCTGGGCATTGGCAAACAACTTTCGCCTTGCTCCAAGACCCTCCTCAGGAGCTCAATCAGTAAGCCCATATTGTGCAGCCTTGTGGCCGCCCTCATTGCTCGCCCTGACTGCTAGAAATACATTTTCAACCCACCAAAATCGGTGCAATTACAGATACTATATTCCTCGAAAAGCTTCTCGAAAGCTGTTCTGCACAACTACGAGGTAATGTTGCTGAGTCATCCGGGCATCGAAATAAGGATTGACGCTAAGGGTGGGGTGGGGGGTGGGTGGGTGGGTGGGTCTTATCTTAGTGTCAAGTTGACTCTGAGCATATAGTGTTTTCCCTAAGGGCATGAAAGTACTGAAATGGCGTATTGCCCAAACTTTGCCCTGATAAAGTGCTACGACGATGGCTTGATGTTCACTTTGAAGAAATCACTCATGCTGCGTTTCTCGGGTGAAATGGGGAACTTCCTTACACCTCGTTATGTAACATTTTCCTATGCAACATATTAACAAACTGTATTATTGATTGGTGAGCTTTTCCCTTATCCATATCATGACGTTCAAGTTTTTAATTTTGATCGTCGAGTTCAGAGAAATCATTGAATCAATCAAATGATTGAAGTCATCAGGCAGCGACCGGTGTGATCACATTCACATATCCAGACGCGGATTTCCTAAGATTGCCATCTGAAGTTGTGTTTGCTTGCGTCAGGCGGCTCGGACGCGTCCATGGCGCACGCCCGCCTGAAGATCGAGGCCGTTGTTTGGAGCCGCCTGGAGGCCGTTGCCCGCTGTCTGGGCGAACTGGATAAAGTGGTGACCGGCGGTTCCGCCGTGGACCGCTTGATGAAGGTCCTGCAGCACATGTACAAAGTGTTGGCAAGCGCGACCAAGCACAATCAGGCGCCCAAGGGTAATGGGACTCGTAAATTTTTTGTGCATCAAGCGGATATATTGACCTCAGTGATGTTCATTTTTTGTACGTTTTATATTTGTATGGAGTTTTTTTGGTTCCGCCTTTCAAATCTATTGAACTGAATCTGTTTCGCTTGCAATTAAGTGTCGTCTTTCTGCTTATTTGAACTTGTTTGAGGGACGCTCCAATCAAAAGAATTGGGTTAGCAAATAATGAATTCATGTTAAGAAATAACTGAGCTAATAAATGATAAGTGAAAATAAATGATATATGAATAGATACACTAGTAAATGAGCAAACTGATAAGCTATTAAAATGTGGCCATGGATCTGAAAAACAGTTATGTGCATGCACTGGCAGCAGCACATTACAGCTTCATAGTTGGCAATGATATGCAGGTCTTCTGCATTGATCGCTTCTGCAGTTTGGGTATGACTGTTCACCGTAGCCACTTAGATCTGGAAATCTGTCCACGGCCAACAGACCAAGTCAGTGTTCGAGTGATCCCAATTTTCCAAAATTTCGACCGGCCGTCCAAATACAGATATCCAGAAGATCAGTTCGGTTGTTAATAATAGATGGAGGAATATGCACTGCAGCCTCAGGCCACATGCTGACCAGCACGTTACCAGTAACTTGGTTTACAATGTTTATGACGAAGAATCGTGTGCGGACATAAGACAGGCAGGCAGTTTGATTCTGTAAAAAGGTCAAACTCCATTCCTTCGGGTCTTCTTTTGCTTGTATCGAGCGGCGAAACTTGTGCTAATTGCGTCACACGATTTCAATATGGACTTGGGGCACATCAGTAGTCGAAACCTAGCAATGTTTAGGTAAATTTGGGCCTGCTTAAGTGGGTTAAGCTGCTGACATTTTGTTGTCACTATGCATCATTTACGAATGATTTAACGTGCATTGAATTAGGGCCGAATCGTACAGCTGCAAACATGGTGGATCGGTCATCTTCTACCAGCCTGCAGGTTTTCCCGCATCTTTGTTTGCTGCATTGTAGGTACAAACCAGGCCCCCCCTAGCAGAGGTTTCCAGAGATTGGTATCCGCTGTGCACAGGCACCTCACCATTAACGTGTACGCGCTCGTGTCTCAGCTAGAGCAGGTGGGCCTTGGCGCTCTGAGCAATTCCCAGTCGAACATCTTCAACACGGGTCAATGCAATTTGGTTGTGTGTTTTAGCACATGACAAAGAAATGGTCCTCTTTCTTAGACCCCGCGGAACTGTGATGCGACTGGTCATGCTGATCACATTGCTTGGGGCTCCACAGTGGGGTGAACCAGCCTCTGCTGGTTTCCGAGTGCGGAGACAGCATTTGCGTCGAAGTCAGCCATAATCTCGCCAATGTCAGGGAAGGAGAACGACCAGACAGAGTGGAAGGAGAATGAAAAGAAGCGTTTTTGAAACGGACTTGTGAATCCAGTTGAACAAGACTGAGAATGGCAGTCCTGTGTCCAGAATTTCGGATATTAGTATGTTGTTATTACCATTTGCGTAGGAGCCTATGAATGCATTGGAACGCGTTTGAGCCAATATTAAGACACTTGGGTACAGTGCGCGACTGGGTCTTTGGGAGCACGTTCATGAATATTTTTTAATTTAGCAGTTTGAAAAATATTTTGGGATGAAACAACTGTTTTTTCATCGCACTTTCAGTTCATCTTTAGAAAGGGAATATTCTGTGATGCAATTTAATAGTGGCAAAAGCATTTTATTGTATTAGTGATGGACGCAGTTGTGATCGCGTGACATGGTTCTGTGTGGAAGCAAGGGGGGCTCTTTGCTCCAAAGCGTTCAATCGCTGTCCAGTGTCAAGCATAGATAAATGTTGTGCAATTTGGGTGCTGTCTTGCAAAGCAAAAATCTCTCTGCACAATTCGCTGGCGGTATCTCATCTGTTCGGCCAAATTGACGCTTTGCCCATGTTGGCAGGACGAGGAGCGGGCCAAGGGCCGTACGCATGCCCAAATTAGGTGGCTGCAGCAACAGATACCGCTCCTTGTGTACCTCGTGGAGCAGTGGGAAAAAGGGCTGATACAGCTCAGCAAGGCCGGTAAGCGCTGTAGAGTATACCAATTGAATTTATCCTTACAGACATTTTCTGGGTATATTTGAGTGAACCTGGGTATCTTCTATGTGCATCAGGACGTATCTGGGTGTCTGAAAGGTGAATTGATGCATAAAACTGAACGAATGCATCCTTGGAGATAGTATGGCAACGTCACGTTAGACCAAGCCTGTGCTCACTGGCACTCAGTTGGTCTGACACTGTCAGCTTGCCAGCCGTCTACAAGGGAGGGTGTCACGATGTCAAAGGCAGCAAAGAAGAAAACGAAAAGCACTCCCAGGGAATGGAGGCAATGAATGCCCATATGCAGCAACTTGAAAATGGCAGACTCTTGTGGGGCATTTCTCTTCAGAATAGACGGAATCAGACAGCATCAGTTTGTCCAACGTTCTGCAAGGGGCTTCACAGCTAGTAGCAGAAGAACGCCCCAAAACCCTCATCACAAAATCGCAAACAGCCCAGAGACACCCCATAGTCCTCTGCATGCCTGGCCAGTTAATTCTCAACTTGCTATTTCAAAATGCGTCTCTGGATTCTGGATGAAGTACATCTTGATCTTCGACTTGCCTCATTTGGGGCTGGCCTCACAGGCAAGGTAGATTTGATGCGCAACGCGAAGAGGAGCACCAACAGGGACTTCAAGATCCGCATGAGTCAATTAGCCGAGGACGAAACTGATCCTGAAGTCCTGGCAGATGGCAGAGACGCAGAGGAAGGGGAAGAAGGGGTGGAGGAGGGTGAGGAGGGGATGGGGATGGGCGACTGCGGTGGGGATGGGGGAGATATGGAGGAAAAAGATGAAGGTCGGTAATCTGTCCAACGCCAGCATGAAATTGTCCATGTCGGTGCCTGAACTGAGCCAACGTACTGAATCAGTATTGCCCTCATTCTGCATGGAGCAATGTAATTCAATCCATGGGTCGCATATTTGGCTTGGTGCATCCAATAGACCCTTCGCGCATTGCCAGGTGTTTGGCCTCAATTTTGACAACACAACTACACCCACGATTCAAGAACCTGTCCAACAGTCCTTGTGGCGGCCAAGACAAGCAGGTTTGTTCAGACCAGGCACTGAAATTCCAGCAGGTCAACCCATATTGCAACTCCCTTAAGCAGACAGACTACTCAAAATGTAGCTAACCTATTGCTAATGTTCTATTGGTGCGCTTACAATACGCATCTAGTCAATGCGATGTGTCTGTTGTGTACCGTGCCTCCGAACACAACCAAGATTGTGTCATCTCAGCGATTCCTTCCTCACCCAAACTTTTGTCAGGGCCAATAGCTGTCGAAGCGACCTTAGCTTTGCAAGCTGTGCGCCACATTTGAAGTTTTGGACGTCCATCTTGTCCCATCGCCTTTGATGTAAGTTTTCTTTACTCCAAAATATTGTATGACAATAAAGATTCCAGTTACCAAACCCCCTGCTGTAGTTTTGGGTTGCCGTATATGCCACAAGACATGATAATTGAGTGCCCTTGCATTTATCATGTCCTGACGGGAGTTGTCAGCAGCAGCTGGAAATGTCCCCAACGAAGCCCTTTCCATGGTCTCCTGAAAAAACCCGTGAGAACTGCAGGTGTCCATAACAAGGGAAGGTCACGAGCTCCTTGCCAATTTCTGCGTGTTTTCTTGAATTGATTAGAAATGTCATCCCAGTGGTGGTGACAGGAATCGGCACATGGATGGAATAAGTGAAATATGGCTATGGCTCTGCAGGAGAAGATGGGTATGACTGATGAGGCGTCACGTCCATGGCAATTCGTGCACCAGGCACCGTCTGCATCAAATGCCCTGTGCAGCACATATCCTGGAAATCTTCCAGGATTATTCACAGCAGTTGGTTTCTGGGAAAGGAGGCACAGCGGTCGCTTACATGCGGTCAAGGCCCTCCACTCACACCATACAGGTGGCCAAATTGGCCAACTGTCCAATGGCAGGAGGTACTCTTGCTCCATCAGCAAAGCACGCTCTACAAGTGCTCTTGGGCTAATGCTGTGTCTAAAGATGCCAAATGTCGCGTATTGTGCGTGCAGCATGTGTAAAACTTGATGTGTTGCGCATTGCACACTGCGAATTCTGCCACTATCATATTTTCCATTGTGGGATGCAGGGACAATGGTGCCATGACTTGGTCACTGTGACCCTATGCGTTCAGTGGTTCCGATGTCAAAAACAAACCCCAACTACTGCTGAACGCCAGCTGTTTCGCCCCAAGTACCCAACTGGGAAGGTTGTTCTGCACCATCCATAAGGGCACAGAAAGATAACAATATGGTGTTAACGCTTCAGATGAGTGCTAGGCTCTTTACTCTGTTGCAGCCAATTGGCATATGACATTTGAAAACCAATCATCAACTGTCCGCAACAGGCTGGGGTATCAACGCTACTTTGTCAGCTGCCGGATCTTATGCACTCCCAGCAGTGCGGCCCCCGAAGCCCGTGCGGCCACAACATATCTACTGAAATTGTAAGCACTTATTTACCTGGTAAATTGCTAAATTGCAGCGGACACCAGCCATAGGAAGAACATGTTGTTTTTGCACGCAATATGAGGTATGTCTTTATCTATTAAATGCTATATGTTTTCTTGTATTGAACGGAACAGTGCAGAGTGAGCGGCACTACTCGACTCCAGTCGCGATTTCGAAAACATGTCCATGGTTTTGCCAAAGGGCCCCAAATGGCTGCTCATGGTAACGCTCTTCACATGACCCTACAGCGCGAGGAGAATGGGCCTGCCCACGCCACTAAAGTTAACGTGGCGGCTGTTGTCTTGAAACAATAGGGCTGTTAAGACGTAGGCAGGCTGTGCAATAGAAGTGATGGTGCTGGGGTTTTATATTGACTACCGATTCCTGTTGAAAGCGTGGTGCATATGAATGCATACATACCGGATTGAATTACGGCAATAAATGACAAACTGGTTTCCACCTGGTTTGTAACTTGGCTTGTTCAAAGGGTGGCCTTTAATTCTGGGCAGACGCAGTTCTGCGTGCGCCTGTTCCGAAAGCTTTTGCAATCCGTTCCTTGTAGGATACTATGGACAAGCGCCTTCAAGGCATTGGTAAAAATATCTAATTTTGACAGGGTTTAGCAAGTTCTGCTCGCCATGTCGATGAATGGCCTGGTGATGCATGGAATTACCCGCACTACTGGACAGTTATTACCTATTGGCATTCTTGCAGGAATCTGACTGTCACCTGTATCCATTCCAGTACAACGAACTTCGTTGCAGGATTTTAGCGCTTCAAGCCTATATATCTTAGAATAGTTCATCGCCAGAGTTTTGCCAATCTGTGCAAAGACCATGATAATGGAACGGACTCTTCAATTGGAAGCAGTGGCCTATAAAATGGCCGTTCTCAGGGTCGTTGCCGCTGACTGTCGGAGCACAATGCAATCCAGCTCTTCCCTGAGGCAATCAGCTTGCACCGCCAGCTGCATCATTACTGGCTTGTCATCCCCAGGAATGAGCAATAGAAACAACGCTCTGTGAAAGCCACTGTGCAATTTGGAAACGCGTGCGTGTGACCGGATTCCCAGGCCCAATTCTGCGGCACCAATCGCAGCATCAGGAGTCGGGTCAGTCTTACACCCAGTAGCCGATTCTGCAGCGAATTTCATCCGCTTTGCAGTCGCAAACCCAGAGCAATGGCCGGGCCAACGTGCGCTGCATGGCTTGAGCCGGATGAAGGAGTATTAAGTCCGAATGCTTGCAAAAAGGCATGGATTTGCAGGCAGTGTGTGACCTGGCAGTTTGAGAATCGACAAATGGGAGGCAATGATAGACCACATGCGCCATACAGAAGGCCGGGTGGGAAATCGTGCTAAGCAGTAAACCATCCTTTGCACATGGGTTGTTGGTTTGGAGGATATCATGATATATTCAATGCTTCTGCATTTCAAAATTTCGCATTACAATTTTTACATCTAGTCAATTCGCTGTTCTGCCTCTCTTTAGCTTTGCTAAAAGGGTATGATACGTATGTGGTACACTTTGCAACGAATGTTACATTTCTGTATTACTCTGCTTCAAGGATTTACATGCTATGGGCAACAGCTGCTGTTGTCCAGTCAACATCGTAGATTTCCGATCCACCATTGAAATACGGAAGGGAGGCTTTCAAATTATGCGCAGAAAGTGTTTCATTCACCTCAGAAATGGAAATGTAATTTGTAATAGTTTAAAGCATAATACAGCATAAATATGATGAAGCACAATAGAACACAATATGCTTAAGAAGTAGCAGCGCTTCTACTCGCACAAAAATAATACTGCCATCTTTCACATTCGGCAAAGTCTTCTAGACGGCCAAGTGTGGCCCCTTCAACATCACTAGTTGGTCCTGGTTTGGCCAGCAGGTGACACTGGCGTCGACGAAAACACTGCATAGACATTGCCTTCGCGGAATGGACCATGGATCTCTTAGCCCAATTGCCACGCAGCTGTTGCAGAACGTGTGGCACATCACATTTTGCAGTGCGGGGCAATGTATGTAAACATGTGTAGATGAACTCAGCTCGTCATTGCGTTCAGCATGGAGGGACAGTGCATGATCACTCTTGAACATTGCAGGTTTCATTTGTTCGCCCTCATTTGAAGTTTACTTGTTACAATCCAACTAAAGTTTCAATGCAATCTTTCCGCATCGTACTCAAAAATTGACACACTGCCAGCACTTGCACTGCCAGTTTGTCAACGCTGCCAATTTAATTGGGCAAGATGGGATTTTCCACCTCTTGACAAGTGGAGGAAAAGGTGTTGCAAATCGTCAACAACGATTGAGCCGTGCGTCAGCGGCGGCCAGGAACCGCCAGAGAAGAATTTTCATTTTCTCCACCACCAGAACAAAACACAAGCCCAGCCTCTGTACTATTCATGCCGCGCCAGCGCGTCCCGGTCACGGCGACAGAAATTTAGAGATCAAAGAGATATTCAAATTGGTTCATGTATCGATGTCCGTACCGGCACGCAACCGAGTTGCCCGAATCGCTGACAGCGGCAATGCCCATCTGTACTCAACCTCCACCTCCAAACCCTTGTTCGATTCTCTGCCCCTGCTGCTGCTCCTCCTGCCCTGCGCCCCTGGCCGCCGTTGTGCGCCGACCGGGGGGCCATGGAGATCGAGTCCCTGCAGCAGGAGCTGAGGGCGCTGCGCAACGAGCGCCTCGAAGTGCGGCCCGCGAACCCGAACCACCTCCCCCGCCTCCACCGGCCTCATGCCAGATTGCTCCAGTCGCCAACATCAGCGCAACGCCCCACGATCCCCCCCGCGCCCCTCTGCGCCGCCCACCCTCCATTCGGGATCATCGCGTTCTTGCGCCTGTTTGTTTTGCGATCAGTCCAACCTGCCTGCTGCCGAAAAGGAATGCCGGATGGTCGAATTCGCGCTGCAACGGGGACGGCTGGGGCTGAGCGCCGCGTGCTGCGCAGGCGAGCGGCCGGCTGCATGAGCTGAGGAACAGCCGAGGGAGGGGCCGGGGCCGGGGCCGATTCGGCTCCTTCGGAAGGGGCCAGGCCGGTAGGCTGGGGAGGGGCGCCTCCGGAAGCTTCGGGCCGCTTGGGGTGGAGCAGGTGGGCCCCAGCTATTGCTGTCCGATCCGCCCAGCTCTGGGGCGATGATCCTTCGGGTGGCGAGAAATCCGCGTCGCTGCCTTTCGCGAGTGTCAGGCCGTCCTGCCTGTGTGAGCCTGGAATCGACGGTTGGCGATCGAAATGGCGCCGAATGGGGCGAGAGCCGAGGATTGTCCCTTTGTGATTGGAGCAAGCGTGCCGTGCATTTGAACACCTGCCTTTTGAGCGGTTGT